AACACCCCGTTTCTCCGCGTCATCTTCCATGTCAGGTCAGAATGCCCTGGTTAATCAACACGTGTAAGCGTTCACGTGGGTCGAGACCTAACCCGGGCCTCGTTGACCTCCATCCTTCAAGGGCCCAATAGAACCCAAAGTTAAACATGTAGAGCCATAATGCCATTATGCGGTGATTGAGCTCTTTCTTTTTAAAAAATAAAAATAAAAAATGCAAGCATGATAATCAAATTTTACCGCATAATCTCTTGTGTGTGTGTGTGTGTGTGTGTAGAGAGAGAAGGGGGGCGGGGGGGGAGACAAGTGACTTACACATATGTGGTTCTACCTTTAACAAAATCATGTATTATACCTTGCCCATTGGCACTAAATTAATTGAAATTAATAAAATTGTGTGTTTTTACTCTAATTTTAAATTCAAATTTGGATTCCCAATTAAATAGTAAAATCTCTTAACCATCAAACCGGCTCACTTATATAGTAGTAATATTTTTTAATACCATATATTTTCCTTTATTGTCTACTGAGTAAAGCAAAATCACGAATTTACATTTTCTGAATTATTTATATATATATATATATATGAATAACATGATTGTTATTTGATCTAATATTAAAAAGCACATCTATTATACTAATGATTTTATGAATTATTTTTATAAATAGCACTCACATGTTCGTATATATTGACTGAGGTGTGTGCAAAAATTAAATGAGAAAAACATGGCCAGAAAAAGATGTTCTCTCTCTCCTATCTTGTCATTCTTTTTCCCTAGTCATGCGTGTTTTTGTACTATGTTTTCTTCTTCTTTATTGATGTTGGGCACCATCGATCTCTTGCTTGTCTGTAACGCAACTACTCATTTTTTTCAATGGGAATATTAAGAGTATGGTAGTGTTAATTTGTTTTTTTTTAAAATATTTTTAACACTAGGGTATTAAAATAGTGATAAAAAATATATACATAATTAAATTTAAAAATAAATAAATAATTGTTTACAAAACTTCATTTACCGCACTCTAAAAAAACAACAGAAGCTATACATTCAAAAACAAGGTGCCAGGCTCTGAAGCTAAACAGGCCGAGCTAAGAGGCAAGTCTATAAATTTTTCGCAAACAGCACCCACTTGCTCCTCGAACAAAACTTGGTGCTAGTTAGCTAACCATTCACATCATAGCGTACAGCTAGATTTAAAGTAGTGTTTGTTTGGTATTTTTTAAAAAAATATTTTTTTTTATTTTAAATTATTTTTTAAATTTTGATTTATAAATACGAAAACATATTTTAAAAAATAAAAGTATTATTTTTATAAATTTTTAAATAAAAATGATGCACTAATTCAAAAATATATTTAAAAAATAAAAATATTATTTTTATAAATTTTTAACTAAAAAAAATATTTTAAAAAGTAATTTCTAACTTGCTATTAAACACTGTGTAATAACTCAACACAATTTCTGAGAAATTTAAAGATGGAATAGATCACTTTTTTAATGTAACCTGGCGCAGGTTAAACTTAAAAATTTGTAAACATAAAAAATAACTAAATTAAAGATATTATCATTAAACCTAAATTTAAAACCCCCTCGAGCTTTCAAATAATGTGAGAGTTGCTAGTGTTTAATTGAGATCTGGGATGGCATAGATCCGAATTTGATGAAAGAAATTTCGAGAGGTTGATTGAAAGGAATACACGTTTTACACGTGGATGAATGAATGGCATGAGTTTAAGCATTTTTAATTGAAAGCCGGAAGGAACACCGACGCCCTTGCTCCAGCTCATAGATAAACTGCTCGTCTTGTACTTGATGAAGTAAATTTTGTTGTAATGCGTGCATGCTACCCCCACATAGATGGATAAATTCGTTCGATTAACATGCAAAACAAAAAATAGAAAGTTAATATAATAGTAAAGTTTCAACTAAATAGCATATTTTTAGATATTCTAATTCTCAATTGTGCTATTTAATTAAATATTATGTTTTTTAATTAAAATATTAATTAAATATCATACGGTGAAGAGTAATAAAATCTTAATTGATAATCAGTAATATCAATTAAAGGATTAATTAGTTCATAATAATTAATTAAATAGTTAACAAGTCAAAGAAAATCATAAAATTGTTAAAATTAACACTCCAAGGTAATATTATTGAAATATAAAAATTTAATGGTCAAAGTGGTCATTCCATGGCTATTTAAAACAAAAAAAAAAAGCTTTGTAAACTCTTGTAAAAAATTAAGTGCGATCCAATGATCATATTAAAAATTATAGTTTTTTTGAGATGTCATTTTAGCTTCGTGTAGCCACGTCTTTCAATGATTAGATTAAAAATTATAGTTTTTTTGAGATATCATTTTAGCTTCGTGTAGCCACGTCTTTTTCTTCGACTTGGATCTATTTCACTTATTTATAAATACATTTGTTAAGATATTCACGCAACACATCTCAATTAAATTCTCATGTAGTTCTGAAAAATTAATATCTAACTGTTTAGAATCACTCGTAATTACAAGTCTAACTAAATCATTGATAATGAAAAATAGAAAATAACTACTATGTAAACAATAATTTCTTGAGATTTCAATTTAAGTTTTTTTTTTTAGAATATAAGTTAGACAAAAATATATATTTTAACTTATAAGACATATTTGAAAGTAAAAGTTTATAAAATTATGTTTTTTTTGCATTAACTGATCAATCGATTTATATAATTAAATCCAATCAGCTGATCAATTCAGCAAAATGATTGTCAATGAAACTATATATTAAATTATTATACTTAAAAATATTAATATTTAGTAAATATTACACTTTAAAAGTATGATAATATAAAAATATATCATGTAGCTAAATATTTTTTTAAAAATATTATTTTTATCAAAACTCCTAACTTACAATGCTTTTAAAAAGCCCACGCATATGGTATATTTTACGGGGACTTTTGTGCACCAACTTTTTTGTCCTATAAAATTCTGGACAAGTCCATGCACTAGAGATTGTGTGTATTGTTGATTGTTTTTTCATAGTTTTTACTAAAAATTTGAGTTTTAAAAAATAAATTTAATTAGTTAACATTCCAATGAGCCATGTATGAAGATGCTTTTTTTTTTTCTTATTATAAAAAATGATTCGAATTAAATTTCTTTAAGATGCTATCAACATTAATAAGAAAAGAAATTCTAAAAGCAATTGAGTTATAATTTATTAATTATTAATATTAATTATAAATATACATATATTATACTATATTTTAAAATGAGTGGGAAAAATACTATACAAGTACTTTATACATAGATTAATCACATTGTAGACCATACTGTAGATATAAAATGTTTGTGTTATGAACGATACTATAGCACCAGGGGGCATTGATTTTTTAGTCAAAAAATATTATTGAATTTCTGTTTTTTTAATAAAAAAATGTTGTCGAGTCTGGCTTCGTAACCAAACCCATAAAAAACATGTGAAAAAAAAACTGTGTAGGTACTGTATATGTAAACTCACTACATTTTGAACCATACTATAGACATAAAGTGTTTATACCGTAGACAACATTATAGGATCAGGGGGTGTTATCTTTTTTGTTTTTTAGTCAAAAAATGCCAATCATTTCTATTTTTTAGTAAAAAAGTATTGTTTGGTCCGACTTGACCATTAATTCCAAGGTTATTGGGTCTCGCTCTACAACTAAATTTAATAGCATTCAAGTTTAACTTGAACGTCATAGAATGTTGATATTATAGATGACACTGTAACACTAAAGGGATATTATCTTTTTTTGTTTTTCGGTAAAAAAATATTGTTGGGTTTAACTGCAATGTTATTGGGTCTTGCTTCACAATTAGACCTATATATATAAGGTCTAGCTTGATAGCAAGACCCAATGCTTTAGGTTATGGCTGGGTAGTCATACCCTATGCTTTTGAATGTGGGTGGACAACCTTACCTATGCTAGTGGCTCCACAAACAAACCTAATATCCAAACCCAATGCTATTAAATCTGGTTCTGCAACCAAACTCAAACCAATAATAACAAGTTAAGTTGTCCAAGCAGACCTTAAAACATCGGGTCTAACTCAACAAGCAGATTCATAGACATTGACCCTAGTTTCATAGTCAAACCCGGTGTTAAAAGGTTAAGCTCGATAACTAAACCTAGAGCTTTTAGGTTCAGCTAGGCTTAGTTAGCTAACTGGAACAATAATATTTTTATATTTATAATTTTTGCATTCTTTAGACACAATACATATATTTTTCAATTCAAATGTATTTTTTATATATATTGAACTTAATCACTTTTTCTTTGTCATATTTTAATTTTAAAAGTTGTTTGTTTTTTTAGTTTAAAAATATATTTATCTTGAAACAACATTATATTATATTGATGCATTGTTTTAGTTTTTATTTTTATATAATTTCGAGGTGTTGTTAAAAATAATAAAAAAACTTATTTGAATTATTTTTAAATAAAAAATACTCTTAAAAATATTTTGCACCATAAATTTAAATTCAATGCTATTGGTCTAGTGCCGCAACTATATCTATATCTAGTGCTTTTAGATCTCTCGACAACAAACACAATAATTTTGTATTTGACATTACAAGCAGACTTACTATTCTTTGAGATCTGGCTTAGCTATTAAATCTAATATTATATAAAATTCTTGGGTGTTGGACAATTATGAGAACCAAAATATTTTATATATTCTTTATTTTACATTTTTATAAAATTACTATTAACCCACACCGGCAAATATGTTAGTGTGTATATAAATACACACCCGCTCTTACAGCTCATATGTACTAAACAGTACCAGTGATGAAGTTTAAACATTAAACAGTCACATCATCCAAAAACAACCTTTGACTCTAACTTCCTTAATTAAGCATAGTGTATTACGTGCTCGAACCCCATTACAGTGTTTCCCGTGTATCCACAACGGAACAGAGTTTTCTAATCTAATCTTTGATCATACAAAATATCCATCTATCTACCCCCATCGCCGTTTTCTTTCTTTCTTCGGACACCACCACGTGGCAGTCATGTCAGTGGACCCCACTGCCCACGGCCTCTGGTTATGGATACATTCGATGGCTCTCTGCCCCAGTATTTCCACCTCTCCCTCTCTTAATTAACCCTCCGGCTCCAGCCCAGTAGACTGTCAGACTCCGGCCACCACACCCTCCTTTTTCTCTACATTTATATATACCCCACCCTCCCTTTCCCTTCTTCAACCTCATTCTTCTCTATCCCCTTCACTTCTCAATCCCCCCCCCCTCCCCAAACAATAAATATACACGTACCCTTCATTCAATATTATACATTTGCTGTGCCACACTAGTACTACTCTACCTCTATACTATATTTACGGTTCTCATTATTATAGATTTTTAAGCTTTCTTTCTTTGTTTTTTTTTCTTGAATTGGTTTCTTGGGGAACTGATGATCAATAGAGCATTGTTACCAGCTGGTGGTGAAGAGAATATGCTGCACTGTACTGACATAACAGTGCTCGAGAGACAAAGAGCTTGTATCAAATGGCAACAAGAACAGCAGCAGCAGCAGCAACAGGTTCAACTACAACAGCAAGAGATTAGTTATTTTACTGAACTGACCGGTGTGTTTCAACAAGCTGGGTTTCATGAGGGTGGTTTAAATGAGGTGGTGACCCGGTCTGTGAAACCTGACCCGGGTTTGGTGGATAATCGTTGGAATAATGACCATCTTGTGGGGTTTGGTGTTGGCCCGCCGTATAATAATGGACCGGGTTTTGAGTTGAATTATGGTTCCATTTCTAGGACTTCTAGCTGCCCGCCGCCGGTTGTCGCTGCTGTGGCAGCGGCTACAGTGAAAGGCTCAGAGTCTGTTGTGTCAGATAAGATTAGTTCCGGCGTTGGAAGAGAGATTTCCAAGAAGAGAAAGGTTGATGATAAACAAAACAACTCAAAGGTCTGTTTTATTTTTTTCTCTTTATTTCTTTTTTTGGTGTGTGTTGGATCATCGTTTCTTTGAAACGGTGTACAAAATCTTGATTTCTCACTACAGAATTGTTTCCATTGTTATGCATGTTGTTTTTATTCTGTTCTGCTTACAATTTTGTTCTAGTTGAAATGAAAACATCAAGCAAAGCATCTCAAGGAATTCAATTGTTTGATTGATTTTCTTCGAATAATTAATGGAACTTTTTTTTTTGGGGGGTATGGCACTGTAGGTTGATGCAGAAGAAGACACCAGGGACAAAAGGATCAAAGGATGTGCAGAGGAAGGAGAGTCAAAGATCACAGAGAAAAATAACAACAAAAACAGGCGCAACAATAACACCAACAAAAACAATAACAGTAACAAAGAAAGTTCTGCTGGGAATTCAAAGGACAATTCCAAAGTAACTGAGGTTCAAAAGCCGGATTACATTCATGTCAGGGCACGTCGCGGTCAAGCTACTGATAGCCACAGCTTAGCTGAAAGAGTAAGCAGGAATTTTAATAGTTTCTTTACTATTTTGATCAACCCCGTCTTTCCTCTGCTCTACAGATTTTATTTAGAAATCCTGTCCAATATTTAGCATATATTGTGGTGTGTGTTATGCAGGTGAGGAGGGAAAAAATCAGTGAAAGAATGAAGTATCTTCAAGATTTGGTACCGGGGTGTAACAAAATCACTGGTAAGGCAGGCATGCTTGATGAGATCATTAACTATGTTCAATCACTTCAGAGACAAGTAGAGGTAATTAGTAATCAATGGTAATTCTCTAATGATAATATTTGTGTGGTTATTGTTCTTCAAAAATATTTATTTGTCCCAAATTCTTGAACAGTTCTTGTCAATGAAAATAGCTACTGTAAATCCAAGGCTTGACTTCAACGTTGACAACTTATTTGCCAGAGAGGTATTATCTTTTCTCAGAGTGGTATATTTAGCAACCAAACAAAAACTTCAAGTGTTTGTTAGTAGTTTATGTATTTGTTACTGATGAACTCCTTTTTGTTTCAATCAGCAGGCCTTTCCTGCTTGTTCAGTCAATTTTCCCACCATTGGGATGTCATCAGATATGACTAATCCTGCATACCTTCAGTTTAATCCAGCACAACAACAATTAGTTACATGCTGTGGATTGGATATGGGGATAGATCCTCCTGATATGGGGCTTAAACGGACCACTAGTTCTCCTGAATCTATTCCTGAAACATTTCTAGACTCATCCTGCTTCACTGTAATGCCTTTGTTCACTTTTTTATTTCTGTCCATTTATCTCTAATTTCTTATGGTTTAGTTTCTTCTAATCTTATCCTACTTATCTTGCAGCAAGCCCATCCCCCACCAGCTTGGGATGCTGATCTACAAAATCTTTACAATGTAGCTTTTGATCAAGGTAGACAAACATCCTTCCCAACTCAGCCATTTACAGGCAAGATAAAATTATCATGTCTTTTTTATCTTCACTTTATTAATCTGATAAATCCATAAGGCGAAAAGACAAAGCAAAGTGAGTTTTAAGTACCAATGATGGAGAGCATAGAGAACCCCACAAAAGTTAATGATTTTGCTCTGGGACTAAAGTAAGTCTTCGTGATAGAAATGGAGAAAGTTGGTCACAGGGAACTTCCTATCAATTCTTCCAAATGATTAAAGCCGCTGATTCTTTTCTATGACTATTAAGTTTTCCACAATTCTTTCTTTATAAAGGAAAACCACTCAAAGTTGCAAAGCATTTTGGCTGTGTAAAGACATCATGACCATCGATCTCTTGCCAACTGATGGCACAAAAAAGGATCCCTTGGTAAATACATGGCGAAGTCTATAATTCTTACAATAAAATAGTTCTTGCTACTTGTGATTGTTTATCACGTTGGAATTTAATTCGCTAGTTGGATGCAAGAGAAACCATTGGATAATGAGTCTGGGTCTGGGTTTTTGCTGCTCCTAAATTTGACTGCCTCCCATTTTCAAATCGCACAATGTGATGACTCGTATTCTACCAAGATTGGCAATGGATTCTAAATGTTGTCACTCTTAACTTTTACAGGTTCTATTGAAGCTAGCAATCTGAAGATGGAGATGTGATTCTGAATATCGATATACAATTCCTGAAGAAGATTTTATTCACCTTGCCTTTGGTCCTGATTCTTTTACTTCTCTAAGTACATGACGTATATAGTATGTATACTTTCGACATAGTATGAATAAAATCGGTATCTATTAACATCAAAGCCTTGTCTTTCTCGCAATGTATACATAGCAATCACGCTATAATGATTTCATTACACCATAATGGTAGATCGCGATAGAGGGGGGGACCAAAGAATTAGGGTTGAAGGCAACTTAAGCATTGGTAGGGCAATAAAACAAAGATTGAATGAAGGGAAAGAAACCTAAGGTCCTGCTTCACAGATTTACCAGAAACGTGGCCTTTTCAACGACTAGTTTCTCCTAATTTTTTACTTTTGACTAAAGAAAGTTGCAAGTATAGTTGCTAACTCTTTTAACTTTTACAAAATGATTCAAGCTGTATTTTTTACTCTTGACTAAAGAAAGTTATAAATATATATAGTTATAAAAATCTTGATTTAATTTAAAATTTTAACTTTTAACTTATAAATTATAACTGACACTATATTCATCACTCAAAACATGTATAGAAAGACCACAAGTTGCTTGTAATTTGCACCAAAACCTGTCCTGGTTAGTCCTGTGGCGCGAGTTGTCCCTCTGTTGGATGAACATGAGTGACAGGTTTAATTAAGACCAGCGGACATGAGCCTACGGTGGACGTTCTCAGTTTAGAGCAGAATAATATATAAGATTGATTGCTACTTTGATAATTAGGCAATAAATTGAGAATAAGAAGCATGGATTCGTTAGAGTGGTTTTCATGTCCTAACGTACGTTAATATATTGCATTTATGATGGATCATTATGCCTCTCTCTCTCTCTCTCTCGATTAGGTGGAATTCTGAGGAGGACAATGCCCACCTCTTTCATCCTGATCCAAGATATGTCGTTTACAATGCAATTAAGGAAGAAACACACCTCATTAACTACGAAGTCAATCCCCCGTATAAGATCATTTAAATTACTAAATACTCCCGTTAACCATCAATTCCTAACCATTTGACAAGTTTCTTCTTTCCAGGCAACGAAAAAGACAATGATCTAGTATGATAATGACCCTAATTCAAGTTGCTTACCTTAATTCCCTTTTGTAGATATCTGATAAAATGATACAGATTAAGAAATTTTCTATGTTTTTGAAAACAAAAGTGGGTGATATGTGAGATATGTACCACTACCAAAGCTGTAACGGCTTCGGTGCTTTACCAAGTCCATGCATTAACTACAAGAGCTCAATGAACCCAATACCAGTATGGACAATTCCAGACAAGATGACAAGAATGCTATGCAGATACAGAAGTACATTAACTACTCATTTCAGAGAAAAAGAAAAGGACTCGGCACGAACTAAAGCTTTAGGTTTCTTTCGAGTATTTCTATTGTTTTGTGTTGTTTTAGATAACAAACCAGAACCATCTTTATGAAAGTATCATTTGGTCACCAAACTGGTAAAATGGCCTAGAAAAATATCCTTTGGAGACTTGCAATGTAGGGTGTTCAAATTGGTTTATCATCTTGTTTCTTTTCTTGGTAACAAGTTACAATCTTGACATCATTTGAAGGGTTTAGGTGACCAAAATGTGAAACTGTAAGCTTGAATTTTCACACGCAGTTGTGTGGTCTGTGCCTTTGAAGAGTTTATGTCTTGCATGTACATTATTAACAGACATACCTCCCAATAGTCAAATCTTAATTAATAAGAAAGGAGCCTTTCATTGTTGGTTTTGGCAATATGCCGGGGACCACTAGAGGCTGCTTACACCTTCACAGCATCCTCTTGTTCTTGGATTATCAAGAGCCTCAGGCTACCTTCGTTTTCAAGCCATATAGAATAGTGAAATGGGTGGACCTGGCCTCATCCAAAGGCAAGATCTCTTTGATTCTCTTTGTTTTCTATGGATGGTGAAAGATGATATAGCACTCTCTTTCTTGGTCCCATTTTTGCTTTCTGTGAATTTTTCTCTTCCTAAAATTTGAGGTTTTTCTCTCCACCTTTCACATAGTGCAATTCCAAGGTATATAAAGCTAAAACCCACAAAGATTCTCTTGGCTATGTGTGTATTTTTGTTTCACTGGAGATTTTTGTTTTGGGGCTAGTATTCTCCCATGTCTGTGTCCTTACCTTGTAACAAGAATCCTACAAATAGTCAGGACAAATCTAATATCTGATCTCTTTGGACAGAGTAACATGACATATTTTGCATAAGCAAGCGAGATTAGCGCTCGAAGTTGAATGGAAAATACAAATGGAAGGGAATCTATATACCATGTTAAATAGAACAAAGCCGAGGACAACAAAAGCACAAAAAATAGGAACACAATGTCCTGGAGTCCTATCCATCCAAGCCTGCACTGTAGGAATCATAACTAGGCTAGCAATCGCCATCCCTGAGACAAGCCAAGCTGTGTGTGGGATCCTAAAGTTGTAAAAGGGCAACGCTAGCTAGTTTGAACAACAGTCCAAGTTGCTAAAATGAGGAAGACTAAAAATGATAATCCTTGTATAGCATACTTTTCCTCATGAACTAGTTTCTACAGTCAAGTAATCAAGGACCACATATTTGCAACAGCTCGTTAGTTGAATCAAGTAGCTCGAACAGAACAGTTAGAACAGGATGAAGAACTAAATATTTTCTGCTGCCAATTTTGAATCCAAACCACAATTCGACTTGCATTCCCTGAACCAAAAAGTCACTAAAAAAAAAAAAAAATCAAACTCTAAGGGAAGGAGAAAACACTGGTCACACACCGTGGAAAAGAATAGTGTTTTCTCCTTCTTGACTTTTTTTTTTCTTGTTGAAAAAAAACTCTAAGAGAAGGAGAAAACACAACACACTTTGGACAAGAATAGTATTCTCTCTTTCTTGACCTTTTTTTTTTAAAAACTCTAAGGTAACTGTTTACGAGTAAAATAGTACATTAAATTTACATCATTACCAGAAATAATTTTGTTAACTTCTAATGAGGATTACTTTTATATTTTTATAGAAGAAATACACAGTAAAATAACATATTTACTTTAGAATAAAAGAAAAACTAACTAATAAAAGAAAAATTAACTAATGAAGGGGGCCTTTTTGTTATTTTAATAGTAGACAAGGCTGCAAACAACCATGAGCCACGAGTCCAGTGCTGGTTTGGGTTCTTAAACCTCTCTCCTTTACGGCCTAGCCCGACTCGTCCAGGCCCGTATTTGGAATCAGGATCCATTGCACCAAGATAATTCTTGGCCCAGTGAACAGGTCAAGGTGAGATTTTGAGATTTTTATCGATTTTTCAACATTTGACTGCCCGAAGAGCTGAAGCGAGCATGTTATACAATTCCAAGAGCAATCTTGAAAATTTACACTAGACGTTAACTGATGCAGCCCCAGAGAAATTGAACAATTCTGGGAATAGAGCGGCCGAGTAAGGTATCCACTAAATAGTTATCATCACGCATATAATACAGCAATCTTGAAATAATCAATCAAAATTCTAATGTGTATTTATTATACCTATAATACACAACCTTATTAAATATAAAACAGCACTGTGCATTACAGAACATTCTTGTTACATATTGAAAATCAACTTCTTCGAAACCTTGCTAGCCTATGCAACCACTCGAACGATTTCCATGACCTTCAAGTGCTGAATCTGTTATATCAATGATTCCTCTCCAGCTTCTGGAAATAATAAATAAATTGATTAACTTGATAAAAATTCCATGACGATGTGAATTAAACAAAAAGATTTCATTATTGTAAGAGTACCTTTCCCAGGAACAATTATAACAGGTGCTACTTTACAGTGGTGAAAGCAATATTCACTCGCACTACCCTGAAGAAAACTGCAGGAAAAAGATAGACATGAGAACACACACGTAGAGAAGATGAGTGGGAGTAAGAGGCGGGCAAAAAAAACCTTTGAACTAAGCTTCTGCCTCTGGTACCCATCACCACTGCTGCAGGCTTTAACCTTACTGCTTCCTTGCAAATTATCTTACCAGCATCCCCTTCCACAATACGAGCCACAGTACTCACCTAATTAAAAACAATCAATATTCAAAAGAAATTGGCGGAGACTATTGATTTTACGCAGGTTGTTGTCCCCTAGATAATAGCTGACGAGCTTTAGAACTAAAGAACGTAAGTTAAAATGATGAGATACTATACATATCACTACAAGAGTAAGAATTAAAGACAAGTACAAGAATCAAAACGTTTTAAACTAAAGCTTATGTATTTAAAAGTTTGATGTTTGGTCAGTCATAGCTCATTAAGCAAAAAACAAAGCAAAAATGTCTTGATTGTCAAAGTCATAACTAAAATCAAGGGAGCGCGCAATTAAACACACAGATCATATGTTCGGTGCAATTTATGCATAGATGTATCATGAACCAATCGAAATGTTTATGATCATTCAAAATCAAGATAATTAACAGTTGATTAACAAAACATTTCCTTAAAATACTAATTATTCTAATTTCGCAATCAATAACTACTTTCTTGAATGATAACAATGGAGTAACAAAATTTTAAAGAAAAATAAAAGGCGGATCACTAACCATGGCAACCTGCAAAGCCTCCACAGCAAGCTTCTCCAAGAGCTGCTGGCTTATCTCGTAAACAACAGTATTTTGCACACCTGAAAAAACCCATAAAAGCAATCAAGCCAAATTCCAAAGCTCGATTATGCAAAACATACAAATATGATATCAACAACATACTGGAGACAGCATGCACAAGGTGGATGGTGTCAGCCAGTCTGCAAAGGTGAATCAAAGCCCAATCAAAAGCATGCTTGCTATTAGGCCCATGATCAATCGCTATAAGTATGTCTCTGCCTCTTCTTCTTTCTCCTTTCTCTCTTTCTAGCTCTGGTTCGGGTTCTACTCGAGTCATTGAAGGCAGTCTCACTTCTCTCCAGTTGTACTCTTCATCTTCTTGCAGTACCTCCATTGTTTTATCTGCCGTTTTTACAGTTTTCTCTGTATCTTCTTTTGTAAAAATTTGCTACAACTCTTTATCTTTCTAGTTTTGTTTTCTGGTTCGGTTTCTATAAGCAGAAGTTGCTGGTTTTTGACAATTCAAAGGTTGTTTTGCCTTTCCTTTCTGAGTTGATTTCTTGTATTTTTCTCATACTTTATAAAAACACTGCTCGGCACAACCGATTAATTTGGTGATCTGTTCACCTAAGGGTTTCTTAACATTGACCGACGCAAGTTAATTTATAATTTGATTTGTTAAGAACTATCTCAGGTTTAAGTTTTTAAGTGATATTTAAATATCTGATTTATATTGTTTTTTAATAAAACTTTTATATTTAATAAAATATGAGTAATGAGATTCATTATCTAACATGATTTAAATAATATTTTAAATACATTATTATACAAAGTTTATAAATTGAAATTCGAGCTTAACAAAGTCTCAATGTATAATCTAACATGATTAATTTTGTTAAATCGTGGTGAGAAAAAAATGTTCTAATAAATTTAAATAATTTTTCTCTATTTTTCTAAGACAATATCGTTTTTTTAAATAACGTTGTTTAAAAAATAATCTGGCCCAAAAATTATCTCAATAACCTAATAATCGCTACACTAAACCAAGTTAAATCCCGAACCGACAACTATGATCTTTCTCTTGTTGCGTGTCTGAGTTGTGCATGTGAACGGCATTCCTACTTTTCGTCTTCCCAAAGAGCACAATTGACGGGGGAACAGCAAAAATAGTGCTTTCTTTTTATATCGTGGGCTTCTCGATGGACCCTTTTTCTTCCGAACCTTGTAATAGGCTCGAATGTAGACACCGACTTCCATGCCAAATTATTTTTCATGAACCGTAATGATAAAAATTCGAAAGGACTACTGCAAGTGCCATCATATGTCATACATCAAACCGCTTTCCTCGAAAGGACTTTAAACAAGAAAATTTAATACATCAAATGGTTTGTACCAAAAAAGAAAGAAAGAAAGAAAGAAAGAAAAAATATATATATCTATAAAAAAAACAAAGAGGAGGTGCTCAGACAGTGAAGAAAGGATTAGAGGGTTTTTCCTCATGGTTAATATCAGATTAACGAGATTATAGTATCATCATCACAGCACCCTCTCTTTCTCGAAATACTCAGGTCTGTGTAAACATGTAAAGAAAAACCCATTAATGTGAAAGATACAAACTAGTATTCTTTTGCAGATAGAGAGAGATTTTAAACGGCTCTAATTCCCTGCTTTCGATTTTCAAAGCAATACTTGAAGGGTTTAGGGCTCGCCGTCAATGAATCTGACTTTGATTTATAGTGATGTGATGACATGACATCATAACTGAAATGCCCTTCGTAGCTCTCTATCTAGTTAAAGAGGCCCCTCGTTATCTAGCCCAGACAAATGAGCTTGCATAAGCAATTTACTTGGGCCTTACTAAAACCCACCATTCATCGCGCGTTAATGCTTTCCCTTTTTCTTTTTTAATTGGGATTAGAATTCTTCATAATTTTGAACCCCACCGAGGTTAAATTAGTGCAAGTCCCCGGTCCCGGGGTCAAATGAGTTTTCAAGTTGATTTGATTTAGGTGATTTCAATCTGGTGAATTTATTTTTTATTTACTAAAAGATAAAATTAATATTATTTTTTAAAAGATAAAAAAATCTGAATAAATTATTTTCAACTAAATTTATTTTTTCAAGTTAATCAAATCACAGGTTGATTTGAGGTTTCTACCATATCATATTAGATTAATTTTTTTTTTATCTTTATTGAATCCAGCCCATCAGTTAACTCACTGAATCGAGAAGGTCAAGTTTTAAAACACTAAAATTGTTAGATTTCCGCAAACTTTTTCGTTGAACTAAAAATCTCTTCAATCGAGTTTTAGGCAAATAATTTGCCTTCTGGGCGAGAAATTTATTCTTCAAAAAAATAATAATTTATGAGCTAAATTGGATGGATTATTTGAACATTGATTTAGGCTGCCATGTAACACGCTAGAGTACAACTTCATGAACAAATAATCAGCGCATTTCAAGCAGACTTACGTTCAGTTCATCTTCTTTAAGCTGCAGTAGTAAGAAATCGGCAGCAGGCCTCCGGTTTCATTGACCTTCATTTGGATAACACATATGATAAGAACCATTGAAATTCTCTAAACAGTATATAAATCAAGTACCTTTGATTGATTCTTAAACTAAATAAACCATTGTTTAGTAAAATTTTAATTGTCTGCACCACCACCGAGACGACGAAAAGTGATGATCACATGGAGTGGCACACAGCCTTCAAGCACTCTAATTACATGGAATGATGGTTGGGACATGACGGAACCCCCGACCAACTGTACTGCCCTCTAATTTTGTTGGTCGATATCTTACTAATCAGGTACTTAATTACCTTGTCTTATGTTTCATTTTCTTTGCGTGGTAGAACTTGACAAAGCTTCAGATTGTTTTGTTTAAGGAATTTTGACTGATTTCTTTTTATCTTGATCATTGTCAATAGAATACATTTGGAAGTGGTGGCAAAGCTGCTGTGCAAAGGGTGTCAGGAGATAGAGTCGCGTTCTATGGTTGGGGGATTCTTTCTTCTCGGGATACTCTCCTGGACGGCACTGGATCACATTATTACAGCAATTGTTACATTGAAGGAGCCACTGATTTCATATGTGGAAACGCTGCTTCACTCTTTGAAGTGAGCGCAACATTTTATGTACTTCTGCTATCTTGTGAAAATTAATACCAGGCCAACTTTTTATGTTAGAGAAGTAGACAGTTCTAGTGAATGCCACCAACAATGCGAAAATACATCGCTTCTATTCATTGGAATGATCAATGGACAGATGTGTGTTTGTGACCTTATGAAATTGTGTGAAATTTTATTTTGCTAATGGAATGAATGCTGGTTTTTGCAGGCATGGAGCAAAGCAATTTCGTAATGGCTGGGCAGATGGACCTGCTGATATAACTATGATTTTAATGCAACAGGGCAAAGAGGAACATTATGGTGGCGTGCACATATCTTTTGGCTAGGGGCTACTGTATATGGTGCCATTGTTATCATGCCTAAACCAGGGACCCCAATTCCTTTCCCCGAGACTAAGGTAAGAAAAAAAAAATTTTAGGTGGGACATAAATTAACTGGATAAATGAACTTGTATTATCTATGATGTTTACACTTCTGATACAGATGATTTTGGTACAATTCTTGAAAATTTGTAGGAGAATGGTGAAACATTGATGTTGATAAGATTGAAAACAAAGGGACAAACTGGGATTGCCATCTAGTAGGTCTGACGCACATACAATTAACAGGAAGCCAGTGCCACTTTTCCCATGTTCCGAGAAACGTGAGCAAATATTTTGATCTTATAGTCCTAAGTTAAGATCAATGGATTAACTTCTAAAATTCTCACAGATATGGGGTATATAAAAAAGCCAGTTTTACCAGAACCCAGTCTCGCAATTTTCTAAACCCTTTACAACATAACTGGGAAACGTTGATGCGGTTTACACCAAGTATAATTCAAGCAATACTAATTGCCCAGGACAGACCCGCAAATGTTCTTGTTCAAGCAACATAATCACCAAACTGATATTTCATGTCTGCTAGGCCTTTCATGGATGCACCACTTACCACAGACAGCAGCGCTGCCACTGCTATACTGCATAAGGGCATCCCAAACAGAGAACCCCCTCTCCTTCCTCAACTACTGCACCTAATGACACTGCTTTTGGGCTGAACTACAACGCCAAGAATAAAAGCCTAAACTCTCCACAATTCCCAGCAAATGCACCACTTAAAGTGGACAGGTATCTTTTTTATACATTTGGTTTAGGAATAAATCCATGCCCAACTTGTTAAATGGTACACGACCCACTGCTTCCTTGAACAACATAACTTTTGAGATGCCCCAAGTTGGCCTCCTTCAAGCTCACTACTTTAACGTCAAGGGAGTATTTAGGTTAAATTTCCCAGATAACCCTCCAACACCATTCAATTACACTGCTGCGCCACTTGCTGCCAATCTTGGTACTACAGCAGGCACCAGGCTTAGTAAAATTGCCTACCATTCAACTGTGCAATTGGTACTACAAGACACTGATCTCCTCACTGTTGAATCACACCCTTTCTATCTGCATGGTTGCAACTTCTTTGTTGTTGGAACTGGATTTGGAAACCTTGGCCCTTAAAAGGACTCAGCAATATTTAACTTGGTCGCTCTTCCAGAGAGAAACACAGTTGGATTACCTATTGGTGGGTTGATTGCAATAATGTTCAGGGAAGATAGTCCAGGTACATATAGTAACATAAGTACACAACCATATGGACTTCAATATGGTTTTTCTTCTTGTTTTAGTCATCTAAAGTGGTTTCTTACTTTTCAGGGTTATGGTTCATGCATTGTCATTTGGAGCTACACACAGGATGGGGATTGAAACAACATTTGTCATCGAGAATGGACAAGGCCCAGATCAATTTATATCTAGCCTCCATCTAAAGACCTCCCTCCCTGCTGACATTCAGAACCAACCATCTCAATTTGGAATGTGTGAAAAGGATGGCTAAACAGTCTTTCGATTTAACAATTTCCTGTGACAATTTCTTTATAGCTGAATCCAAGGCCCGAGCCATGCACCTGAAAGAACCTAGTATAATGTCTGTGATAGCAGTAATCACTCTCAATCCCTGGGAAAGAAAGGCTTATCTGGGATGGGGGTGATCATCTTCTGGCTTGTTCTTACTGGATTTTCCGAAAACATGGGGATAATTTAACAGATGAGGCCGAGTTCATGATAAAAAGAAAACATTTCAGGTGTCTAACAACACGGGGGCCTCTCAAAAAATAATGCGCAAATGAGAAATTCGGTAGCTATAATTATAGAGGCTATCCAAAACTGTCCCAAAAACTCATGAAAACAGGTCCTAACTCCTCTCCTCTACCCCTCACCTTTTTCTACACGCACACAAGCTTGACACAACCAATATAGAATCAGGCCGATGAAAGGAAAGCTCAAGGCCACATAATTCAAACAGGTAAGAAAAAACTATCTATAATTGACAAGGATCTGGAAACAATGAATGAATTACTCATCAATGGCATCGAATATTTGAAAAAACAAGAGTACAAAAAGGTCAAATAGTGCACATTACCTTACATGGCACCTCTAACATGAAGCGTCAATCAAAAGCTCAGCAACATTGCCAATAAAATAAAAAAAAGTAAATCAAGCTTTCTTTTTCCTAGCCAATGCAGGTATCCTGCTACTTTTAGGCCGTGAACCACTAGTCTTGGAAGAATTTTGAACTAGCCCACGCAAAATGCACAGCACACCAAGACCCAGGAAGGGGGAGTACATCATCAGTAAATCATCAGATGCCTTGCCAGACCCCAAAAGCTCTGCTAATATAGCAACCTGTCATGTAAAACACTCATTTACATAACGAGAAATAAATTTAAGAAGAAAAAAACCAGTAATCAAATTAATAATATATATTGGGGTTTTCTTTTAAATTTACCATGGAGGTGAGAACAGAGGCACCATAGATCAAGCAAGTGGTGTTAAACCAGGATTTGGAAGCCAAAAAAGCGTACAAATTGAGGAGAGAAAGAGGCCACTGAAAGAGAAGCTCGAGCCAGACAAGACCAACGAAGAAATGGGGCTTCTCGATGATAAGATAGTCACCATAATGGTGGCCGTACCATTGCTTAAGATTGATCAAGAAATCAGGGAAGAAAGTGAGAGGGAGACAAGTCTGAGCATCAATTAATGGCGCAGCCACTGCTATCACCAGAAAGAAGAAGAAAAGTATAAAGTCTATAATCTTCAAAAAAACACTCACACCCATTGTTGTTGTTTTTGAGAGCTGAAGGTTTTGCTTTGCTTTGTAAGAAATGGGGATCTATCTTGTCTTGTTTAGTCGTGTTTGGTTTCTGACTTTCTATGCTTTCGGATCGTGAATGGATCTGAGACCAACCTGGTCAAAGGGATACAAATAAACAGCTGCGATGGCAACAACAATAAAAATCTCTCGGTAGAAAGTAAAAAAAAAAAAAAAAACTAGCAGGTTTCGAATCCGTTTGACATTGGTTGTTGCTTCTATGCCTGCTTCAAAATTGACATGGAATCTAACTCATTCAACCACTGAACAAGTTCGAGTTTAAAAAAATAGAGCAAAAATTTACTTGGTGATCGAAAACTTGGTCGATTTCTTATTAGATTCGACTTATAATTAAATCGGTCTCGGTAAAACCCAGTTTTTAATTTATTGGTCTATTTTTAATTTTTTTTTGTTAAAATAATATTATTTTAATTATTTAAAAAATATATGTTATCTTGGATTCACCCTTTAGATCTATAATCTAGAGTTTATTCTAAACCAATTCTGTTTCAAAACTTTAGTTTTAACTTTTAAGCCATGATGATGATAGTAGAAGTCTCTTTGATGTTAATTGTGATAATTAAAAGGAATAAAAAAGTTTTAATGAATTTTTTAAAGAATGAAGAAGAGCGATCCAATGTGTATAAAAAACCAACGATGTGTTTTAATAAATGGTGTTTTAGTCTCTATTTTAATTAGAAATAGAGTTGAATTTACATATCAGTATTAGTATGTATTTTGTATTATAATATACAAACATAAATAAATATTTTTCTTTATACAGAATATAGAGTAAGTGTCTTTTTAATTTTCACATATTAAATTTTCTAGGAGGTAAAATAATATATTAATTTGATATTTACTAATAAAGTCAAGATTATTCATAGATATTTACATTTTAAGGATATTTTGATGGATTTCCAAGTTAATAAGATACGAAATACGAGTCACCTCATGTTTTTCTAAAATTAAAATTTTTTTATTAAAAATTAATTTTTTTATACATTTTAAATTATTTCTATATGTTGATCTTAAAATTAATTTTAAAAAAATATAAAAAATATTATTTTAATATAAAAAATATTTTCAAAAACATCGGTTCATCTTTTCTAAATGTAGTTGCCATTTTTGTAAGAAGGTGGCTTTATGGATTTTTAACCTTTGTACCTGTTTCAGATTTTTACAAGCATTATAATAAATATTGTTGTCACATTTGATAATGAAAAATACATCTATTTTAAATATTAAATTTAGAAATCCACTATGTTTAGTTTTTTGAGAATTTTGATTCATATTCTGAACTCTCTGCAAATTTATTTAACCTCTAATTACATTGGTTTATATATTAAATCATGTTGGTTGTTCTTTCCATTCTATCATGTTTTTGAACTAATTATGCAATTATTTTCAACAAAATACATTGGTCATTAAATTATATTATATTTGATCAATAAAATAAGCTGAGTGATTAGTTCAGAATTAATCTCTGATCTGTTATATTTGCGGAGATATGTTGATTTTTTACCCTTTATAATTTATTATTAAAAACAACAGGTAAAGAATCATAAATCATGAAGGATTTCAGATTATCAGAATTGCACGTTCGATTCCTAACATCTGTTGTTAGGAAATGAACTTGAACTCGTTTAAATGATAGAGGTAGCGTAGAAGCTTGGAAGAAATGAATTGAATGCAGACATAGAGAAAATTAAGCAGATAATAGAATGTAAAAATCATGTTCAATAAGGATTGATGATGAAAACTTCATAGTAACTCGAGGAAGTCTGCCACATGCTATTCTTGAAAGCTTGAACAAGAACCTTAAGGTTTCTCAGTTATTCAAAATACAGAGAAATTGAAAACAGTGTGAGATGAAAAGACATCGTCAATCACATTAACCCTCGAAAATGGCAGAGAACGTTGGAGTGCATTTACCAGAATAAAACTCCTTCCCTTGTAAGAAAACGTGAAATTTCTTGTTTAAGCACAAGATTTAATCACCATGACACTAGCTTACGCGATAAAACCCACAATCAAACCAAACCATGGTCTACAAAACTCTTCAGGAAGCTAGGGTGGAAACGAGAATTCCCATGAGAATCAGCAAGAAGACCCCAATCCAGCAACCCCAATGGCTTCCCCTTCTCTTCATTTGGGCAGCGTAGTATAGTCCATCAGTCCCACCACTGATATGATTCGCAGCACTAGCCACATTCTCTTCAATAACATTAATCTCATCACCTTGAATCTCTACCAAGATAGCCATATCAAGAAACACTCGATGCAACTCAGTCAAGCTCCTCTGTATCTCCTTCAAGGCCTCATGCCTCTCTAGATTCTCCATCACCAATTCTGCTTTCCCTTCAAAAACTCTCTCTTTCTCACCTCTTAAAATCATCCTCTCTATCATTTCCTCGGTTGGGTGCTCACCGGTCGCATTATAGTACCTCCTTTTAAGGCCCTCTTTGTGATCTTTCAAAATGTTCTCTCTCAACGCTTGAAAATCATGCATCATGTCTCTTAACTTGACTCTCAAGCCATTAGTCACTGAAACCCGAGTTCGATCAACAGAGCTACCTTCTTTATAAGCCTTCGACAATCTACGATTAGCAACATTAGACTGGTCAAGAGATTCCAATCTTGACTTAATCTTCTTGGTCTTTCGAAGGATAGTAACTTATAATCTTGACTTGATCTTCTTGGTCTTTCGAAGGATAGTAACCATATCTGAGTTTACTCTGTCTCTAATTCCTTTCAAAATTTTTGCACTGTGAGTGGATCTTGACTCTTCTTTCAAGTCCTGGAGATCGATAAGGAGATTGGTGATCTCTTCCATGTCAATCTTGATAGCCCTCACTTCTTCAAAGAATTTGGAGAGGTTTCGCTCATCAGCGGAGTCTAATTTCCCCATCTCAAGGTCTGGTTCGGGTTGGATGTCTTCAATGGCTTGTTTTTTGAGGTTTACGTAATCGAGAAACGACTTGGTCATTAAATCATTCATCTTTTCAATGCTTTGTAAATAACCCACCTGCAAAGAACACGATCAAATAGATCTCTCCAAGAAAAAATCACAAAGAAAACAAAAACTCACTAATAACAGAATAAGTTCATTAAACAACAGTGTATCTGAACTTCAACAACTTTGAATTCTTTCATTTTCCTGAAAAATAAAGAACAATAGAATCTTGAACACAAAAAGAAAAATCAGGCTTGGGTCTAACTTAAAAGCGAAGGACCTAACAAGGCAGAGATTTCTTGAATGCTAATCTGAAAATCAAACGATGCACTACGTTTTTCTAACTATATAGTTCAGCATCTAACAAACAGATACATAATAAAAGAAAAGGACTTGAAATGAACAAAGAAAGAAACCTATAATAACTTAGACAAAGAACCCTGAAGAGACTTCAAAATTGAACAGAAAGTATTGAAAGTTTGAAGGGTTGTGAGAGAAAGGTAGAATGTTTGCAACTTATAAAGATAAATCATACAAGAGAGAGATAAAGGTCATCAATGGCTTGGTTTCTGTTACGATTTCCTGTCAAATTTCAAATTTAAAGGTTTCTACAAAGCAGCCGTTTGGGGGCTGGGTTGATGGATTTGGTCTCTATTCTATTAATTTCTTCTTGCTTTAGTCCCTCTACCATTGTTTATCCTCACATCACCTCTATCAGGTACTCTCTATTGTTTTTCTTACTAATCAGAGATTATACAATATTCCTAGAATATTGTAGTGCTACCCCATAAAATGAAACTTAATTTCTATGTTAGATTCTATTTTTATGTGAGTGAAATAATAGTTCTAGTGATAGAGCTTTTTTTATTAATATTAATTTCTGAAGTTGAAATGTTCATCAATTATTCACAACGTACATATATATATATATATGTATATATATATGTATATGTATAGATGAGGATGGATTTAGCTAAAATATTTTGTAACCATTTAGGGATATAATTACTTTTGTCTTACGTAAAAATGTTTAATTGGTAAGTTGTAAATTCAAGATTAGTGTAGTACCTAATGATTTCTTTCTATTTTCCATTGATATTATCTTTTTGTCAATTGATGTCGAATATTGTGGTTGACAATGCAAAGATTATGGAATTCAATCTATTTTGTATTGATATAGTATTTTCATGGGTTGTTGTTAAGGAAGAGGAGGATGATAAAGGGGACACAGATGGTAGAAGAACCTGTCAAGGACCAAATTGAAAACAGATGGTAGAAGAACCAATTAAGGACCAAATTGAGTAGAAGAACCTGTCAAGGACCAAATTGAAAGTAGATCGAACAGTAACACCATTAACCCTATTATAAATAGCCTATTTGTCGATTGACTTCCTATCAATGGAGAAACGACAACGCGTTGAACACAAAACGCCACTCCCAACTTCCAGGAACGTGAAGTCTCCTCGTTGACTATCTAGACCAAGATTGTCAATTTCGGTAAATATTTTATTTTTTTAATTAAAATAGAATGTTTTAATTTAAAAGTGTGTCCTTCAATAAATATAATTTAAATTTAAGATAAATTAAATAATAATAAAAAATATTTTTTTATAATTGAATGATTTAATTAATTTAATTTAATAAAATTTAATTTAATTTAATAACTTTTCAAAGAATAAAATAAACTATATAAAATGAAACTGGAATATTTCAAACAAAATGTAGTTGAAAAATTTGAAACAAGTTGAAATTTAAAATAAAATAAAATTTATTCTGTTTTATTTTATTTTTTAAATTAGTATGGAGTGTTTTTTAAGACAGTAATCCTAAGACAGTAATCCTTCCCAAAATCAAACACTCACTTTCTATCTCAGACAAAACAGAACGGAATTGACAACCTTTATCTGGAGGCAAAAACGCTGAACTCAAAACGAAAGTTTCAAGATCTTAAAAACTGAAACGACACGGCCACTGTTTTTTAGGGAAAAAGAAAAACATGGATGAGAAGAAGAGCAAAGTACTAATAATAGGAGCAACAGGAAATTTAGGATACCATTTAGCTCAATTTAGCCTGAAATTCTCACACCCCACTTTTGTTCTTGTTAGAGACTCTGCTCCTAATGATCCTGTTAAAGCACAAAAGCTTCAGTCTTTGTCCAATTGTGGTGCCACACTCATAAAGGTTAGTTCTTCTTCTTGTTTTGTTT